CCATTTCCCCAGTCAGTGCCACCAATTACATCTGGTGTCACAATAGCTTGGATTTAAAAACAAAAAACTTTTTTCACTGTTATAGATTGAATAGCAGTCAGTTGTCTGCCACTGCTGCCAGCTTCTGTGTCAGGCTCACAGTGCATACTGTACCCATTTCCCCAGTCAGTGCCACCAATTACATCTGGTGTCACAATAGCTTGGATTTAAAAACAAAAAACTTTTTTTACTGTTATAGATTGAATAGCAGTCAGTGTCCTTAAAGCGGGTGTGTTACGCTAACAGTGGATACGGTGACCAGTGCCACCAATTAGATCTGGTGACACAAAGCTTGGATTTAAAAAAACAAAACACTTTTTTCACTGTTATAGATTGAATAGCAGTCAGTGTCCTTAAAGCGGGTGTGTTACGCTAACAGTGGATACGCTGACCAGTGCCACTAATTAGATCTGGTGTCACAATGGCTTGGATTTAAAAAAAAAAAATCTTTTTTCACTGTTATAGATTGAATAGCAGTCAGTGTCCTTAAAGCGGGTGTGTTACGCTAACAGTGGATAAGCTGACCAGTGCCACTAATTAGATCTGGTGTCACAATAGCTTGGATTTAAAAACAAAAAACTTTTTTCACTGTTATAGATTGAATAGCAGTCAGTGTCCTTAAAGCGGGTGTGTTACGCTAACAGTGGATACGCTGACAAGTGCCACTAATTAGATCCTGTGTCACAATAGCTTGGATTTAAAAACAAAATAATCTTTTTTCACTGTTATAGATTGAATAGCAGTCAGTGTCCTTAAAGCGGGTGTGTTACGCTAACAGTGGATAAGCTGACAAATGCCACTAATTAGATCTGGTGTCACAATAGTTTGGATTTAAAAAAAAAATAATCTTTTTTCACTGTTATAGATTGAATAGCAGTCAGTGTCCTTAAAGCGGGTGTGTTACGCTAACAGTGGATACGCTGACCAGTGCCACTAATTAGATCTGGTGTCACAATAGCTTGGATTTAAAAAATAATAATCTTTTTTCACTGT